GCGTATGAGTATGGTATGTGGCACATAACCGTTGACAACTCCACGTGTAACCTAACTCAGCTGGATTCCTACTTCACGAAGGACAGACCGAGAAAGCACGAGCGCCATTAAATGGAGGAAGTCTATCACAGCAGCAGTGCTGTTGTCAAGGCTATTGCAAGGAAGATAATAAAGGTGTCAGTAACCRGTAAAAGGGATGTAGCCACAAAGCGCCTCAAACCAAGTTAAAGACACTCACACTCTCATTGTTTTGTGGTATACTGCAGTTCTAGTATTTGTTGTTGTTATGTGGTGCTGGTGGCTGGTGGTGGTCGTCCCCCTCCTCGTGCTGGTCGTGGTGGTGCTGGTGGGGGTTGTTAACAGCAACAAGAACAAGAACAAGTATCATTTATTCTTCCTCTTACCAGGGGGGCTACTTTAAAGAAGAACAAGCTACTACTAGTACTTCTTGTTGTTTGTTATAGTAGCTTTAACTTACTAAAAGAAGGAAGTACTACTACTAGTTTTAAAGTACTACTACTCCTGGTGGCTCTATAGCATACTACTACTAGTACTACTAGTACTACTAGTAGTAAAAATTTGATTCTCCATCTCCTCTGGCTGCTGGTTGTGTTGCCTCCTGATTTTCATTTGATTCCGCTGCTGGTGGTCCAGCACAAAAACAACAAGAACAACAAGAAGAAGAAATGATTGAAATCAGCTCCTCCTCTCCATTCAAACCCCTGCTGGTAGTACTAGTAGTAGTACTACTACAAATACTAGTACTGGTACTACTACAACTATTAATTGTCCTTCTTCTACTACAAATGTTACTGTATTACTACCACAAATAGTAATAATACAACTACTTCTAGGTGAACAAATAATAATACTAAGAATGATCCTGAATTTGATCCTGCCCCCCTTTATCGTACTACGTTCCCAACAGGTACCGTACCGTACACCGAAAACATCACCATGATCACAAATCTTTCTGTGACCATGACGCATCCAATCAAAAAATGAACTTTAAGAAGGCTTGGCGCAGAAAATTCGAA